CCCTTTCTTCTCCATTTGAAGGAGTAGATTGCAGTGGTTTTGTTATATATTGGATGCTTTTCCGCTATTAACTGGACATGGTTGACTAACTGTACATGGGAGCGTCATATGGTGAATTGTTTCATTTCAGACAGCCTCTGGCTGTGCTAAAACTTACAATTCAACAAATGCTTTTTTATAAATAACATGTACTGCATATTAATTCTTGAGGCATTCGTTCTGTTTTGTTCGTGGATGATATTATATTCAGAAGCAACTGCTATAGCTTTATGGTGCTATATATACTTTGAATTGAAATATATCAGCTATTTGTATTCAGCACATTCCTTCTTTGTGATTTCAATATTTTTCTTGCAATTTTACAGTGTTGATGGTTGTTTTGTCAGTGTCACCTGGGAAGGGGTCATATTGGTGTGTCAATGAGTGCAAAGCTGTACCATCTCTTGGAGCAAAGAACTTCAGATTGGTAGGGATCTACCTTTTTTGTCTTCTCATTTTACATTTTGCTCATAAACTGAAAGTTATTTTCTATTTGTTTTACAGCCGTTATTTTGTGATCCCATTGTGGAAAGGAAGTGGCTACACAACAATGTTTTTGCAAGGTTAAGAAAATTCACCTTTTTGCCATTTGATGCAGTGACACATGGTTGGAACTGTAGAACAGATTAAGTCTTTGAAATCTAAGACTACCCATCTGTATTTACGTAAGAATATTCTATCACATGTTGAAATGTGCAATTTGTAAATATACGTATATATGTATAAAGGAAAAGAAAAATGCCAATTACAAGAAATACCCCTGAGGTTTGGTTCAGTGTTTAAATTAAAGGGGCTTTTAGTAATATTTTCCTAAATGTGGTGGGGGAGTTTGAAACGTGTTTTGCTTATTATAAATGTGTTTTGCCTATCGTGCGTAAGTTTGAAAGTTTAGCTGGGTCGTTTTTTTGTTAGCTCAAACCTTCAATGTACTACTTGTAACTACCCAAAAATTATATGACTAGTTTTTATTTGTACATGAACAAGAATCAGAGGTAATTTATTTAATTAACCCTTTATCATCTCAAACTTACAGTTCAGATGCCACACATGCTTTTCACTGGCCTCGAAGATTATAAAGCGAGAGGGACCCAAGCTGCTCCGTACTTCACGGCCACATACTACAAGGAATTTGCCGACAGCAAGGATTTGGTGCTTATCCGTGGTGACATAGTTTTCACCAGCAAGCTGAGTGACTCAGAGGCAAAATGGCTTTTGGAGACTTCACAATCTTTTTACCTAAATGACGTCAGGTACAAGCTGGTCGAACCATTCAACAAACAGACTCGTGATTTCGAGTTCAAGGATGTTTTGAAAGCAAAAAAGAAGTCGGGAAAGACTTCGCGATACAGGAAAGGGAAATCGAATGCGAAGAAAGGTGGCAAAGGTACAAAAAAGAATGTTAGAAAAGGAAAGAAGGAAGGGGAACAAGAAAAGGCAAGTTTTTCTTATTTTCGTTATTTGTGTCATGCCATATAACCTCTTCAAGAGGTGTCCACCTCAGAAGTTTTTCTTATTTCCGTTATTTTTTGAATCAGGTTTCTCCTCCGACTGGGAATCAGGTTTCTCCTCCGACGGGGAGTAGCTCAAGATAAGGTTCGAAAATAGCTGAAATTATGCACCTAGACATTTTGTGAAAGCTGTAAAATGTCTGAAATTCATATGTTTGACTTCACTTGATTTCGTTTCATGCTAGACCGTCAATCGTTATTTTCAATCGGTTGCTCCTTGTAGAAAATATATAGCTGAAATTGAAAATTCAGTTTTTTTAACTCTTAGATTATGTTACTCAGTGAATGAGCATGAGGTATTGGTTTTCATGCACTCATAGGCCTCGTTTACTAGCCAGTTAACCAACCTTATCATATGGTTACTATGTGGTATTCGGATTAGGATTGAGCTGATGTGTGAATGGTGTGGTACGTAGGTCCTACGTCTTTACAATGCGCTGGCAGGTTTATTTTGTCCACCCATGGAGGTCGGATATTTTAATCCCCGCATTTGGTTTCCAATTTTGTCCAAAAAGGAGCCTAACAAATGACATTTATACCCTTGTATGTCAAGTAAATTACAAATTTAGCCGTATATAACCAGATTTAGATGCCAAAATTGTGTTTTCTTTGTCGTGCTTGACACAGACGAGAAGCCCTAGTTTGTTCCGCCCGTTTTCACTACCACCATCTTCTTCCTCCGTTTTTCTTAAAAAAAAAATCTTGCAGTGGATTCTAACATTGTTAACCTCTTTGAATTGCTTCTTTCTGGTCGCCGATATCTGCCCTACCTAACTCCGCCTCTATTTCACGTGAGGGTAATAAATCTGTACTTAATCTTCTATTTTTTTTTTCGTCTGTTGTGATTTACAATTTTGTTGAATTATATTTCATATTTTGTGAGATATTGGTTTAATATGAGCTGACATATAGATTAGGCCATATATGGGTCTATGTTGATCCTGTGAATATGCTATTTTGTTGAATTGGTTTTCTGCTGGATTAGGTGAAATTGTGAGCTTTCATAAGGGTTTTGCTAAGATTTTTGGGCTCTCTGTGGGAAAGGATAATAATGATGCTTTCTTTCGGTTTCTTTAGTTTTTGGTTGCTTTATTTGTGTGTCATACTATAACAATTTCATTTGAGGCCCCCATGAAGTTTTTTTGCATTTCATTTAACCATGTTGTTTGTTCATTTGATGTTGGGATATGCTGAGAGTTTGCATGTTTGATAGATAAGTTGCTCCTATGTCTTGTTTTATGTTCGCCAATGACTTTTATTTTTTTATTGTTAATATTTTGATTTGTGCCTTCCATTTATCTGAGTCTTGATCTTGCTTTTCGTTAGCGGTTGGGTTTTAGAACAAACAATGGAATATTTGTTGTTGTAGCTCTTTCGATGAGTTCATTTCTAATTCCCATGAGGCGCTGTTTTGCTAAAACTGGTACATGAAGCAGTGTGATATGGTTTGGTTGCTGGGATAGTTTACCAACATTGTCCTAACTTTGTTATTTTGTTTGTAGAATAATAAATGTGTTTTTTGAGTGTCTGATTGAACTCATGCAAACTAAAATGATGTGAGAATGTCAATTGCACATTCTGTAATCTGTGTATATTTCTCAATGAGACTGTGATGGTTATAATAAGTAGACTTGGAACCTTTTTGTTTTTTTGGTCATCCCTTGTTTGGAAGTAAAAAAAAAAAAGGAAAACAGAACAAATCAAAATAAGCAATGTTATGGTTACCCTGGCTTTATTAACTCTTAGGTGGTTATTACTTAATACATGTGATTTGGTTTATGATCTTGTTTATTATGTTCATTTATTATTTTCCTAAATTGAGTTTCGTCTTGCATGTTTACAGAACATTGGATTCGAGACATGCTGTGATTGTCCACGGTTAGCCAATCTAACTATTATGCGCCCTTTATTGCAGGTGTTAACATTTATTGACGTGCTCGGGTCTATTTCTGTCCTTGTTTGCTCAAATCGCAAGTGGTAGGACTTTGTTCAAAAAATTAATGTTCTTTAGATTTTTTCCCGGGATTTCGTTTTTTTGGTACTACTGTTTTGCACCTTCTTTCTCCTCCCACATGATGAAGTCATAAAATCCAAAGTCAAAATGTAGTGGAAGTCTAATATGTAGTGGATCGTGTGCACTTGTGGTTGATGTTGCAAACTTTTTGGGTATGATGTTATGAACTTGTGTGGATGATGTTGCGAACATTATTTTGTATTTCTTTCGTTTTTCAGAATGATATTGGAAATTAGGATTTGGTTATCGTTATTTGTGTTTTGGCTTTCAATGGTTTGTGTTTATGCTTGTACTTCTGTTTTGTTATCAATTGCATATGTTTTTTTTATGACAACATTCATGGCAACAAATGGACAACAAGTGAAACAGGTAAAAGACATAATACATGTAACTAAATAATAGATGCAAATCATCAACAAACAATGCACGGGTTGAGTTCACCATAGTAGACGCAAAGCAAAGATAATGACTTCTAAATGTCCACAAACAATGACTTCACTGCAAATCATAACAAAATTGAACCTCGAACAACCAAACTTCATTGCAAATCATAACAAAATTGAACCTCGAACAACCAAACAGTCTAAACACAACACACTCCTCCACACCTATAATTTCAACTTGTTATGGCGTTATTAAATTATTGTCAGATAATAAACAATTGTCGTTGAGGTTATCATGTATAGTGTTTAAGATTATTAGGTTAAGAGTAGTCAAAATTACATGTGTAAAAACTATCAAGTCATTAGGTTTCCTTTGTACTACTAAGTTTTAATTTACAAGTGCAAACTTACAACACAATGAATATGATGTTGGAGCAAGCTGACATTGTACTGTCATAGCTTGTTCGGTCAATTTGCAAATAATATTCGTATAAGCACCCATAAATTACCATAATTCAACATCGAGGGTTTCAATTTTCATTAACAAACACATAACATCCAATTTTCCTGACATAGCCATTGTCGTCTCCCAAGCAGTTAAAATACATCACATAGGTTCATGGAGCGAGTATCACTAAGAAAAATACATAAATAATTTACAAAAGTGGTTGTTTTCCTTTAAGACTATCAACATCTGGCTCAACATTCGTAACGCGATTGGAAGCACTTTGCACATCCGGGTGGACTGTTTCCTTGTCTACCTCACCAAAAATTATCTGCAATTTCGCCCATTTCGGGTCTCCCATAGTTTTGTAGGCTAGACTCATAGGTTCATCCTGCAAAATAAATAATGTCAATTACATAATAGAATAACACATTTGAAATGTAAGTATACCTTTGAATGTGATCACGATACATACAGTAAATACCCTTTTCCATGCTTCTTTTGGTCCCCACATGAGACCACTCTCACAACAATAGTTGATACCATAGTTTGTAATCCCTCATCACCCTATGCCTTCCCCTAAATTGCTGAAACCTGCTCTCACACTCTATTGTAGTAAAAGATGTACCGAACTCAATACTCAACCCATCCGCGCTTAAGGTAAACAATGAGTAATCGTCTTTCTTATTGCCTTCAAGTAACATCGGCAAATGGGGTTGTGCCGATACCAACAAACATGCGAACGACTAGTCAACCTCAACTGTCCATTTATCATTAAACAAATATTGTTTTCGCTCAGGCGGGAGATGGAACTCCATACCTGTTTCGTGTACAACTTCGTAAGTTGGACAAAGAGTTCATATGCTTCAAATTATGCACATCTTTTTTATTAAGTAATAACATATCTAAAACATCTGAGATATTAGAAATTCTACATAGGTAAAAAACTTATTAGAGGCAGAAAACAAGTTATATCACAACCGTACTTTATCAGCATGAAATAATGATTTCAGCCAACTCAGGATGACTTACTTTTGGTTGATTCTTACTACATGACTATTAGACAATAACAATAAAACCAACTTGATTTAAAGGTAAGCTGGACAAGAAGTTATGGCCTTATTCCTTCTTAATTACTGTTCACATAATGAAATCTTTTTTTTCATCCATCTCTTATTTCTAGTCTTCCCCATCCATTTTCAAAACTTATGTGCTATCAGCAGAGCACAATCAACAATATACAAGCGCGTTTATTTCAAAACATTGCAAAACTGACAATTTTTCGACATTCTTATTGCATTTACATTACACTTCATTTTAACACTTCCTATGACCTACGTCAAAGTTTTCTGTCAACATTGTGAATTCATACACTTAAATAACTTGGTAGAAAAATATACCAACGGAAATATCATAACACTTCAAACATATGGGGGAGGATTCTCCTTGTTCTAAAGAACAAAAATCAATATGGAAAGAAAATACGAAGGCAACTTCAAATCATGCTATTAAAAAACAATTGAAGTTTAAAGTTAAGATCATAAACCAGACATCACAATAACTTCATCTGAGATGGATTATTGAACATATGAATGAGTTTGATGTAAATTTCATTCTGGTGCACATTTCTTGAAAACTAATCATATTCCCTAATATTAATATTTTCTGAAAAAACAAAGGTAGGCCAATAGAGGCATGTCTTTCAATCTGAAAACAAAATAACCTAACTTAAAAAATTATCTAAAATCCTTATTCCGGGAATGAGCCTCTGATACATATGCAAATCAGACACATGGTTTGGTGGACATAGGTTTTTCAATTGAACCTTTAAAACCCCAATTAAGAACTAAACACCATCAAATCCCCAAGATAAAAAAATAAAAATAAAAAAATTAAAAAGAAAGTAACAAACAAAAAAGAGGCAGAATCAAATCTGCGTCTGTACACCATTTGCACACCAGTTCAAGCGGGCTATAGCTACCCATCCCGTCCACTATCATCAGCATATCCCAACATCAATAAGCCACAGAATTAATAGAAACTATTTTTCCCATCGGCGATTAAAATATTGGAAAGAGATAACCTGAAATCCCTTCGCCTCGTCGTGCTCCTCAAATGGGGGTTGAGTGTTTTACGTTTCAGTACATTCGTTCTCCTCCTTCCCCTCGTCTCCGACCACCGGCGAGAAATCTTCTTCGGTCTCGTTCGGTAGTGAAGGATAGGGCTACAGTCGAGGGTGAAAACAGAGAAGATGGAAGACAATTGATTTGCATCTCGATTTTGTATAAGGGGGTATTTTTGTCAATATATATTTATCATATCAGTTTATCAACATGTAGTAAACACATAATACGATTTTCGTTAAATGCAACCATGTTATGTAAACGAGAATTGTTTATCCCAGATGCTGATATGTAAAGTTTTGTGGGATAAAATTGTCTAATCCCATCATGGCTTGTAAATGAAGCATGAGGGTATACTATCATTTTTACAATATTTTCTTTATTTTCTATTTTTCTAACCAAACAAGATTTGCCATTTTTCATATCTTTCACCTCATACAAAAATCCGTCCGAACAAGATAAAATTATTTTATGTCACCTTCCCTCCCCTCACCTCTCTTCCATTCAAATCCCTCCCCTCCCTTTCCCTTTAACCAAATATACCCTTATCATCTCATTCTTTCTTTCAAACTCCCTCGACTACAAAAATGGCCTCTGGAAAGGATGCAACCGCCGGAGATGATGACAGATGCGCGGCCCTCAAGCTATTAATTGAAGAAGCCCCTCGTTCGGTCCGGACCATCTATTTCAGGCCCGAAACCCAGTTCCTGATCGGACGGGCCGCTTCAGGCGACACCTTTATGCATCAAAGACCGCACCATATCCATCGAGCAACTCCTCATTCAAGTCGAACCTGCGGTGGAAGGCCGTCGGGGACCGTTGTTGACTGAGATTCTTCCATGTTCCATCTGCACGTTTCTCCTCTGCGCGCAGCTCGAGCCCCATGGAGCTAGGGCTGGTGAGATGAAGGCTTACACGGCGAATGTCGGGAGGAATCCAAGGCGGGGTGTGAGGAAACAGGTTAGGATTTGAGTGTGATTGATGAGGATTCTGTGATAGGGTTAGGTATCCAAAAATTTCGGGCGAAATGAGATGCATGTGGATTTGCGGAACAAGGAAAAGAAAACCAAGGGGGAGCCAAATTAGGTGTCTGGAAGAAGTAAGTTTGAGGAGGATTAGAAGTTCTGAGAAGGATGATAATTCAGAGAATTTAATTATTTGTCATTATGAAAAATGACAGAGTTGGCTGAACATGAGGTGAAGCAAGACTGCAAGAGAGGAATGCCGGCATGCTGAGAACTGGTAGTTCGAAAAACACGGAGAATCCAAATGTAGAGGGGATGATAAATTCTGGAGTTGATGGAGGTGAAAATAATCAGAAAAGTGAGGAGGACAAGGAGTTCAAGAAAGGAAGGACATATGGATGACAGTCTAGTAGATTTGAGTGTCAACCTATAGCAATTAGCAACACCTTTGGGTGAAAAGAGGAAGGAAGAATTAAACTGGGAGGAGCAAACATTGTTCGAAAAAGGATATATGGAATTGAAGTCTATGAGTTTGGTGGAGAGAGTGACCTGTGAAGGAGAAAATGAGCCGGCAAGCATGTCTGGAGCAAGGAAGGGGGCGGCTGAAGTTGGAGGCGAGCATTCGGAGAAGATGACTTTATCGGGTATTGGTTTGAATTTTGGAATTTTATCTTCCTAAAATTACAAGTGATGAATCAGAGGAGATGAGGAGAACAGCAGAAAGATTGCTTGGATTTATGTAACAGCAGAAGAATGCCGCCTCCTGAAAGTGTGACGTGGCAACAGACTTCAAAAAATAACTGACGTCACTGCCAGATTTGTTGGTAAACTTTTGAACTGCTCTCTTTCTCTGAACAGCGAGTTTTGACTATTCTGTGCTGCAAGAATTTCTTTTGCTTTGTTTATGTAGTTTATAATGTGTTAATGATATACGGTGATCAAAGGATTACAGAATAATCTATTGAACTTGCTTGTTACTGCTCAAAATGAATATTCATGCTATAGGAAATTTTTCTGTATATTGGGAGTTGTATTTTCAAATAATTTACAATCTACTAGATTTTGGTGGTGCTATTTGTATGGTTATGGTTAAAATTATTGGTTTTGGGTTAGATCGGGTCTTTCCAAACTGATGCTAACTAATGACGTGCATTGACTACAGTAACAAGCAGTGAGCTGCCAAGGGTAAGAATAGTTTGTTTGATGTGGTATAGAGAGTTGGGGGTTTCACAAAGCCTATGTATTATCCCATCTTATGCATTCCCATTATCATTTTATTTGGTAGAAGTTATTAGTGTGTTTGGCATCATGTTTGATACTATTTGAAACTTGTTCTTGGTTTGCTCTGATTATAATCAATGAAACATCTTTCCATTTTGTTCGATGTTAGCATCATTCGATAGAAACACGCTGAGTTGGGCTTCTCTTTTCGAGTTGTTTCTGTAATGTCACTTTTCATTTTGGGAAAACCTGAATCTTAGCCCAGACAAGTACATACTCCGGTACAGTCACTAGTTCTGTAAGTTCTGCTTGCTTGTGCTTTGATTTTATTTAGAGTCTTAGAGTCAAAGTAGAGAAAATGATTTATGTTGTATGAAATGAAGATATTACTTCCTCCGTCCCAAAAAATGTAGGTTAAGACAATTTTCAATCAGTTTGAGAAAACACAATTGTTATTGTTGGGACAGTAAAAGGTGCTCTAAATTAACTGGTATTTTATTTAGTAATTATGTATTATAGGTTTAGGTTCATTGTTGTCATATAAATTGACTCTATTTTATTAGTTGTCATATAAATTAAATACTCGATTTAAGGTGATGAAAGTATGAGACTATCTTTTTGGGACATTTTATAATTTAAATAGATATGTGAATTATCTTTCTGAGATGGAGAAGGTATTAAGCTAAGGCAAATCGTGAAAACATGGTTCATCTTTTTGTAGAAGATGGATAATTAATGTTTTCTTAGATTTGTTTTTGCTGTAAAGGGAGATATAATGAAAGTTAGCATGAGTGATTATGCAGTATGAGTGAGTAGGAAATTCAGTTGTCTAAGGCATCATATGTGTATGAATTAGTAGTTGATTTTAAATCCACGATGAGTAATCCATCCTACTTGTTTGGTTACAAGTTACAATCTGAAATCCTTAAGGTCCTTCATTGATATATTCTTTACCATAGGCAAATTTCAAATTCGTCTTTATAGAGTCTTTTAAAATCCTTTTCCTGGATCCTTCTCTCAAATCTTAATCCTCCCATCTATTTCAATATAAACCTTCCAGATTTTTTAGCTCACCATATGGTAGAGATTAAAATAGCAAGAACCATCGGATTTTGCTTAGTATCTTTTCACGAGCATTTATTGCTGGGTTAATAGAGGTGAAATTGCCATTTTTAGGTTTGAACTGATATTGAACTTGGAGTAGTATTTAAACATTTATTTGAGTATAAAGCCAAGACACACGGAAACAACAAAATATTCATCAGCACTTACTTTCTTTAGAATGACTTGGTTAGGCATACTTCTTTACCTTTGGTTTTATATCGCATATGGGGATTGACTAATGGGTGGAAAAGGGTTATTTAAAATGATGCCGTGTCATGAGTTCTAGAATTCAAATGCTTGTCTTTCGTTGATGTTTTTGCTCAGCTGATGTAAAAAAAAAAATTCACTAGGGTATTCACTTTATTTTTCTGTTTAAACCTGATAAAGTTGCTTTGACGCAAATTCACAAAATGTGATGTATCTTTAATTGTATCTTTAATGGAGATGGTGTATCACAGTAAACCATGTCATACTGGGAGTTGAGAGGCATGCCTCGTCCTGCTAATATATGATTTTCAATATGATGAGAATTATTACCATGATCTTGTGACCTAGTATTTTTAGATAGTTGCAGAATTTCCTTTTAGCAACAGGGGTGTGGGCTTTTGTTGTTCCCATTTCATTCTATATTTGGAGGCATTAAGTTTGAGATTTTTTACATAGAAAATACTATCATCTATTTATTTATATCATATATGAATATGCACCTGTGTCTTTGCTTTGTACTAATAAAACTTTAGTAGATTATTCTTAAAGCATTCTGTACGTTGGTTAGTTCGAACTTTATATATGGGCTATGAAAATATACATTTATGCATGCATATATTCAAAATATATGATACATTACAATTGCCTCAAAATATATTGATATAAATAAAGATGCTGAATTATTTAATTTGATGTTATAAAATATTTTCTAATGTATCACAATTGCCCCAATATATTGTTTTCTTCATAAATTTGAAGATAAAAATACTCTATACCATATTTTATTATTTAATAAACTTGTTCTTTTACCACAAAAGTTGGATTTAGAAATTGTTAGACTGTTGTGACATTTTAAAAGTAACTCTCAAAATTATCTTCCATTTATTGTATTGTAAATATTGTTGTCACATATGTTTATTGTATTTTGTTTGTTTTCCTTTCTTCTCTATCTCTCCTCACGTCCAACAACAACAACAACAACGACGACAAGCCTTTAAAATCACACTAAGTGGGGTCGGCTATATGGATTACATGTCGCCATCATGCTCGATCAAAACACACATCCTCATTCAAATTTAAATATTTTAAATCATTTTTTATTGTTTTTTTCCAAGTTTTCTTAGGTCCGCCCCTCCCCTTTTAATTTGCGTTCTTAGTTCTAATGTTTCTTCCCTATTCACCAGAGCCTTGAAGTCTCTTCTACGCACATGCCCAAACCATCTTAATCGAGATTCTCTCATTTTCTCCGTGGGTGCTTCCCCAACTTTATTTTTAATACTTTAATTTCTAATCTTGTCTAACCTAGTATGCCCACACATCCATCTTAACATTCTCACTCTGCCACTCGCATTTTTTCTATTATTTTCATATTTAGTAGCACAACACTCGGATCCATAAAGCATTGTCGATCGAATGGCCGTTCGATAGAACTTGCCTTTCAAATTGGTACTTTACGATTACAAAGTATCGACGACGCGTTTCTCCACTTGTTTCACTCCGATTGAATTTTATGTGTTTCATCTTTATATATGTTGCCATTATCTTCTAGAATGAATCCTTAGAGCATGTTTGTTTATAGAAATTTTCAAAAAAATTTCAACATTTTAACTCAACCACTTTTTTTAACTCAACTTTAACTCAACCCCACTATCATCAATATTATCAATATAATTAAATAATATCAATCAATCATTCATAACCACAACATCAACCTTAATTCACTATTCATCCACTCACATTATTTTAACTAACCATCACATCAAACCATCTCTCTCCTAACTTTACATTAAATCAATTTTAATTATTTTATTTTAAATATTATTTTAATATACCCACTAACAACTAACCATACCACATTTTTCAAAATTAACTAAACCAAATCAAAAAATTCAAACAAAACCAAAAATTTCTATAACAAACATGCTTAAATATTTAAAACTTTTAATTGTGTTCAATTCGTGTTCTCCAATTTTAACCTTTACCCCAATATTATTCATTTGATTACTAAAATTACACTGCATATATTATGCTTTGGCTCTACTTATTTTGAAACCCTTAGATTCAAGCGCCTCTCTCTACATTTCTAACTTAGCATTTACCTTTCTCTCTTCTCATCTACTAATACTATGTCATCCGCAAACAACATGCAATCGCTGACATCGAACATGCAATCTCTCCTCACGTCCCTATCCATTAAAAAGTTGATATTCGTAATATTTTTATCCATAGAATTTTATATAATATCTTTGCAGATTGTTCGGTATTTGAAATTTAATCACAATTTTTGTTGAACGTTAGGTTAAAATCAAATTATAGCTTTATATTATTGCAATTTCCCATCTATATATTTGCTTCTGCTTCTGTGTTCGTACCATCACTCTTCCCTTACTAGTGGCCGTCACCATCCCACCCTTATTAATAGTTGTGTCATCCTCGACACTCTTCAGACTGTCTTGCCTCCTCTTCCTAAGGCAGATCATTATAATATAAAGTAGGAAGCGTGAAGGTTATATATAGTAGTTGAACCAATTACAGGTAAGAATGAGCCTCGTTATATATAAGGGAAGATCATCATTAAAAATGGTATTGAAGTAGAGGAATTATGATCTATCTTTTTATGCACCTCTCTTTTTAATTTTTTTTTTTTTTNTTCGATCTGTGTTCTCTTGTTTGTTGGTCGATAGTGAGGGAAATTAAGGTGGCGATCGGATACCAGAATCTTCCGCTTTTGTATGGTCAGTCAAGATTTATCTTGTTAAAACATGAAATGAACAATAAATTATCTTATTAAAACATGAAATGAACAATAAATTTACAGAAATACTATTCATTTCATCTTATCTTTTTCACGAAATAAAAAAATAAAAAAGTAATTATTATTATTATCCTGCAAATAGACTATTCATCTGTTCACATATTTCCAACTTTCAGTCGTTATCATTTTATCAATTAAAATTTTGTTATTGTTTTGTCACATAAACTATAATCACGACTTTTTTTAATCTTATATCGACTTACAATCTCAAATATATCCCACATTTTTCTAAAAACAACCTTTTCACATTTCCATCTCTATTTCAAATGGGAGACGTTTGTTTTTTAAAAATTCTTATATCCAATCATGACAAGACTCCAATCGCAACCTAGATGTCTGAAGGTTGGAGGTTGGGAAGAGAGAGTAAAAAGGTAGGGGTGGGGAAGTGTGTACGGGATGGAAATGTGACTAAGGAAAAATAAATTTTCGAGAGAATAGTTTGGATATTTCGATTTTTATCTTTGCCTATCACTTGTTCAAGACATGTTTTGAGAAATCTTGAGATTTATATCTGAAGCAAGCCAACTCGTATTTTTCATTTTCTTTCTACTGAGAACAAACTTGCATTGTGTAAACATAGTTTCTTTGTCTTGGTTTACCTATTTTCCAGAAGTCGTGGGAAGCAGAAGAAAGAAAGTGATGAGCTCATGTTAGAAAACAGGTGGTTGACTACGACAAATGATCTTTTAAGGCAAGAGAATGACGAGTTGCAGCAAAAGGTCAACCAATTAATAAGTGAGAACGAGCATTTGCGGAATCAAATATTGGACGTATGTTTACATCAATTCTAATTGATTACTGTCTTTCTTGGAAGGTTTATCTATCATTATCAAGTGTTGGTTTTAGTTCTTGAATATATTCCTTTCTTGACTACTTTATTATCTAACCCGGTAAGCATATTGTAGTTTATGTGGATATATTTATTTCATGATTGTTGCATGGTTCTTGTAACTTCAAAAACATGTGAAATTTACATCAATGTGTGTCTGCCAAACTTTGCAGGTTTTACTATGCGTCTTTTGGGATTTTATATAAAATATCATTTATGATAATAGACTAATTTTACAGAACGAGCTCAGGCTTGCTTTTTTCAAAGTTTACATTATATTTATTTTATGTAATGCTCATTTTACAATGTTGTTTTACTTATGATTTTCACAATTTTACAGAATGAGCCTTGGCTACCTTATATTTTCATTTCATCCACTTCAATTTCAGCCTATGTTTACAAAGTTTAGCACATTGTCTTTAATTTCTCCAAAACCCAATTTCCAATTTTGTCTTGCTTGTAATTTTATTAATTCATTTTTTCAAATATTTAAATATGATAAAAATAACATCTATAACATTATGTAATTTTCTCTTTCTAATTATTTTGATGGTTATCTTGTATGTGGGAACCTAATCATTCTGAAGTCTGAACTGCTACCTGATGAGTAGGAATTTTTTTTAAATATAGCTTTACTAGGGTGAAAATGTATCACTTGTACCAACTAACTTAATACTTGTTTAAGAGATTTGTTGTTCTAGGATTCTTATGATGGTTGAACTTGTGAGGTATATAATTGATGCGTACAGTGACAGATAGAGGTCTTGAACGCCACATGTTCTCGGTAGTTTGTAGGTTGACATAAGTAGCAAAACCTTGTTCTCTGATATATACAATGTCCCTTGTACGATGGAATCCTATTAATATTTGCAGACCAGATTGCTTTCTTTCATGACATAATTTATGTGGGACTGAATGATTATTATCTTTTGGCATGCTGGGAGAGCGATTTGTTTTTGCGGCCATAATTGGGAAACCTATTTTGATAGATAAACTCATGAGTTAAATTTATTAATGCAGTTAACTACTCATATTACCACCTTTGACTTGGACCAACTGCTTGAAGCGTATCACGCTGAGATGGGAAGTACGCCAGCTGAGAACAGTAACGGGTATTGCTAAGCAGGGGAATTAAATAAAGTTCATTTACGAATCCATATTATGCTAATTGTTTGCTTTATATTTATCTATCATATAGCCTTTCTTCACTGGCTGTGGAAATCAGGAAAGAATTCCTAGCTAAAGCTATTGGAACTTCTATTATTTGGACCCCTACTTCGGGGCTGAAGGTTGTGACGGTCACTTTTTACAGGGAGTTGTTTTTGAGTCTTCTAATCTTCTCACTTTTGTTGATCCTTTTAATCTTTTGGCTTCTCAGCTTGACAGTGCAGGTGTATACGGTACTGTATACATCCCTTCTACTTGCGTTGGAGTGGCAGCTAGGGCACGTGCTTCTATAAATTTTGACCATTTCCAGGCAAGCTCTATAATTATCTTCCTTGCAGCATGCTATTTCAGTTATATGCACAGGGTAATTCTATATCTTTAAATGATTTCTGCTTCCCTCTCTTTCACACAATACCTGATGTGTACACCGCCGAGGTGGGGTGGAATCTTAATTTTTATTTTACATATCTACAAGTAATTTGTTCTAGTATAGTTTTTGATGGAATTTATGAGTGAAGGGTAATATTTTATAAAAAAAATAAAGAAGTGCTTATCACATCGAACTATTTGTTTTGCATCTCGTTTTCTTCTATTAAGTTTTTCTTGAAAAACACAAGTTGTATTTATTCATTTGTGTATATTTGTTAGTAAAGCTATCATTGATTTTGCATGTTTATACTAATTTGCTACAGTGCAGATGGCGGTAAATTGCGGTTTGCCAAAATTCTGCCATAGCGGCCTATGGCGCCGCCTAAGGTTGCAAATGAGCCGAGCCAAGTCGAGCATTAGCCTTATCGAGCAGGATTGAATTTTTTTTTTTAGCTGCTCGAGCTCGAGCTTGTCGAGATCGATTTATGAGGCTCGAGCTCGACTTGATAAGAAAATTCAATAGCTCGAGCTTGACTCGAAAATTTTAAAGTGAAATTACCATTAAGCACTTGTGTTATACTATTTAAATATATATAAGGGGTATTTTAGTAATTTAATATATATATATCGAGCCGCTCGACAATGAAAAATATGGGCTCGAGCTCGACTCGAGTTCGGTCTCTCGAGCTCGAGTCGAGCTTTGACTTGAGCGCTCGCGAGCGGCTCGTGAGCCGCTCGACTCGTTTGCAGCCCTAGCGCCGCCATAACCACCATCCTTCACAAATTTAGCATGGCAGATTGTCAAAAATTGGCCATGCCATAATGCCATGGCCGCCATTTGATAAAACTGGGAGTATATGGAAACGAAAATTATCATGTGTTGATTATGAAATCAATTGAAAGATGAGCTAACAAATTACTTTTTGTTCCTAAAGCTCAAAATTTGCAAAATATGAAAGAAGATTGTAGTAGTGTTTTCGTGGAAAATTAAAATTTTTATATAATGTGTTTTACTTTGTGTTTTATGTTTGACATTTCTCTTTTTTCTTTTTCTTTTTTTTTTTTGGTTCGANTTATTTTTGTTACGATAAACTTTGACCTTGTCTCACTTCAATTTATGGGTTTGTCTCTACTTTCACATATAATATGCAATTGATGTATTGTGAGAGACCTTGCCAACTAAACAAGAATGATAAACACTAGCAATGGTCATTTCAAGTCAAGTTATATATTTAATTCTCTATGCTTATGTGAACATGTTATACATCGACCCCATTTCAAATAGTTTACCTAGGAAAACCAGCAATCAGTTCAACTTTAATTTACAGATGGCTTGAATGTAATCCCTTTACATATCATGCAGACACTTGAAATGCTCAAGGACCGGCCTTCCTGGTCACGATTTTGTCGTGGTATGGATGTTATTGCCAAGCATCACACAAATGAGGGAACTATTGAATTGATCTACACCAAGGTGGGTGAAGCAGAAAGTTTCACATTTGCAGATGATGATTTTTCTTCTGAAACTTTTCTTGCTTCTATTAGTTTCTTCATGTAAATATTTTTTGTCCAATTTTCTGCAGTACTATGCCCCGACTACCATGGCTTTGGCTCGAGATTTCTGGACGTTAAGATACACTTCTATTCTAGATGATGGCAGCTTGGTGGTACGATTTTCTTTTCTATTATTTAGATGAAAAATGTGACATTGAATGATTGAAATGACTGATTGGCTAGTAAATTTGCTGGCATTCAGCTTGTAGCTTTTACAGGTCTATTATTCTATCTGTTTGAACATACACGACACACATAACCTCACTTGTTGAGAGATATGAACAGAACTCTTTATTTGATCTCTAGGAATAGATAAGGTTTCCTGTTAATATATTTAAATCTCTTCTATTTTTTGTTTAGGTATGTGAGAAATCAATTTCTGGTTCTGATGCTGGTGTAAATTCTCCTTCTGCCCTTGAATTCGTGAGAGGGAGGATGCTGGCTAGTGGTTTTATGATTTGCCCTGGTCAGGGAGGATCAACCATACATATTGTTGAGCACTATGATATGGAGGTACTATCCTTTCTCTGCTACACAGGCTGCATGCAACTATATAATTGAACCTTTGAGGGAGAAATTGAGTTAAAGACAAACTTGTTTCAGGCATCATCTGTTCCGTTGGTGGTGCGCCCGCTTTACGAGTCATCTGAATTTCTCGGGAAGAAGACAATTGTTCCTGTAAGTCGATTATCTAGTTTGAATTGCCCCGTTGTGTTTTATGTAGCTTCTGTTAATTTAAGCTAGAAACTCTGGATCTTTAAATTACTTCTGTCCAAGGCGGTAAGTCACTTCAGTATTAGATATTGTAAAGTCCAAAGAGATGTGCATTGATTCTGGGATTTTTCTTCAACATTTATCTTGGAGAAGGACTCCAGTTGACCTTTTCAATTCTGTGTATGTACGCATGTGTGTGGTGGTTATTGTGAGAATAAAATACTAGTGTAAGAACTAGGAGTAAATCTCAACCACTAGATGTGGTGATCGGATTGTTAATAAAATAAGGACAAAATGATCAAATCATAGGAGAAAATCTTGAATCCTAAGAAATATGCCGCCTTAGAAATCTATTATTGTTTTTCTGTAATTCACTTATAGTTTAAGTGTCTTTCTTTTAGCAGAAATATATTGCTAACACTGTCCAAATTTATAAGCGATTATGAATTTCACTTGAGAAAAGGTGTTGTTTTTCAGCGGTTGAGTGTGCTTTGCAGAATTTCACTGCTAGATTTGATCAGTAAATATGATTATGTCGCTATATTTTTTAATCTGAAACAAATAACAAATAAGTGACATATGTCCTCTAAATATTTGAGTTTTCTTTCAAAAATATACTTAACGAGTTTGTAAAGGTGAATGTGAATGGAAATGTCACCCATGCAATTTGTTATTTTTGTCGAACACGATCTATTTCGAATTTATGGTGTTCTCTACAAGCAATATACTGCTCTTAGTGCTATGTGTTTTTGTGGTGGTCTTCAGTAAGGATTGTATTTGGATTGTGCCTATTGACATGTATGGTCCAAATCTAGTAGTATTTCCTACATTAGGATCCTTTCATACAGAAACCCACTAATGGCTGTGTCACATTTTTTCTTGAAGAGTTGACGAACTACCTGATCATACATGTGTCTCTTGATGCATTCTAGGTATTTTCCTTAGTAAGTTCTATATGAGTAGAATGATCTAGAATTTGGTGAAGAGTCAAAGCTATTACCTGGTACCCCATAATTAATTTTGATCTAATAAGAAATGTAATGATTTTCCTTGATACCCAAAAACTGCTTGTTGATACGTAGTTGTGTTAATTTTTAATATTTTGCTCTCGAAGAGGTAAATATATATATTTCGGCGATCTATCTATTTCTTTATGAGGTTCAGACTGTTCAGTACTGGCCTCCAAAATGAGAATTTCCAGAGGAAAAGATTTTCTATAAAAGCAGTGATAAAAATAAGAAAAATCAAAAACATTTCTAAGTTCTAATATATATTCGAAACCATTTTTCTATTGTATCTGATTGAATCAGTATTACCTATGTGTTCCCTCCTCCATGACAAAATGTCAGATTTTTTAGGATTGTTAGAAATTTCATTGGTCAAAAAGCCAAATAGTGTATATATTTATCAATTAAGAAATACCATCTCTAATTTGTACCCTAATATATTCAAATTCTGGTTTCGCCAACACACTGTTAAATGCCCTTTGTTCATGGATTTATTAGAATTTGCAGTTCTTTTACGAGTGTAATACTGGACAAGTTGATTTTTCTATACATAGGCACTTCTCTATATTGAGCATATGGCCAGTGAGATGAGTGGCATACCAAGACCTTATTGCCATGAGAATCCTGTTCTTTTGAGATGGTTATGCCTAAAACTTTCTAGGTAAGATGTCTAATCTACATTTCAATTCATTCTATATGCAAGTCACTTATTGTTGTTGCATCTTAGACATCTACTCACATTAAAATGATGTTTTTGATATCATTATTTTGTTCCAAATCATTATGATTCATTTTCTTCGAATCTACCTACATATCAAAGAAAGTAAGAAGGAAAGAGAAACTCAAATGAGGATTACTAATAGCAGGAGAGAGAGAACAACAAATGAGATGACAGAGAATAAATACTACGAATGAATGAGAGAAAAAGAATGGATTGGAGACAGAGAATTACACATGGTTGTATTGGTCCATTTCACACCATTGTTAATATAAGATTAAAACCTAAAAGTATCATTTAATGACTGAGGGTGTGCCTATTTTATATTGTCCATGCATTCATTATTTTCTTGATGATACTACCTCTCACTAGTCTAGTTCTAAACCACAAGAATCTTATCACACTTGTTAAACCTTAAGGTATTTTACTGCAAATGGAGCATTATAATGATTATCATGCAATTTTCCCAAGCTTCAACATTACTAAATACCTCTTGTCTGTGTTTATGTAGGGGCTTCAATGATGCTGTCAATTGTTTCTCTGAAGATGGATGGACACTGATGGGTGCTAGTTCTTCTGATGATGTTATTATGTCCACCAAGAGAGCCACTAATCTTGGAGTCTATGCAAATTGTGATAGTATACTTTGTTTGAAAGCCTCTTTGCTGCTTCAAGTGAGTCATACTATTTCATATCGGTAATAAAGTCTTGATCCTGCAACATAGTCTAGAAACCACGTTATTAGAGAATATGTGGTACTTGAGTTTACTTTGTGAAGTTGTACTCGGCAACTTTCATCAAGCATTTTTGGTACTACCATTTTAACTTCTTTTCTGTTTTCCCCGTTTTTGGGAAATTGTTTGTTGGTGACAGAATGTTTATCCTGTAAGCTTGGTGAAGCTTCTGACGGAGTGTCGTTCGGCTTGGATGGGTTTCAACTTCAATGAACATATGGTAGCTTCAAGACCTGCTCTTTATGCATTTCCAGGACATGATATTTATCGTGTGTCTGAATTTTCTTCACTGCTTGGCCAAATCAATAATGAGGATGAGGTTCGTTGAGCTTAATGGTGCTGAGATATCTGTATCACATGAATTACTGCAGTCTATTTCATTGAATATCTTGTTCAAATTCCCATGTCAGGCACTGGAAATAATTCGTTTGGACTGCGCTGATCGCCAGCGAAATTACTATTCAGTGGATTTTAATCATTTGCAGGTAATTCATGACAGATACATTTTGTCACTAATACATATAGAACAAAAGATAGTTGCATAGAAGTCCAGATTTTTCCAAGAAGTCAGAAATATTAAAAGCATAATTGCCATAGAGAATAGATTTTTTCTGATCTCGTTTATTCTAAATAGTATAGCCTTGTATAACTATATATGCATGATATTTTCCTCAGAACCTAAGTTCTCCTTAACACATTGTCAGAAATTTTCTCACTCGTATAATTCCTATTGAAAGAAAATATGCACCACGAAAGGTGCAAAACTGGTTAAGCTTTCTTTTTTCGCATCGCTGTTAGTTACAGTTTCATTCAAATCTGAGAGAATGTCCATAACCTATTCTGCATTCTTTTTGGGGTTCTTTTTCCACTCTTCTCCTGCCTCTTAAAGAATCGGAAGGACTAAGCGTTTCTAGATGAGTGTCGAGCCTAGCTTTAAGTGCATATCAAACTGGAGACACTCCTTAAGCATTGTGTTTACGAATGTGACTGCATCCATGTATAAGTTGCAATAACCTAGTTAACTGCAATTTTTTATAACATAAAGAGAAAAGGATTTACTTAATCACGACTTCTTGCACTTCCAACAATTTAAATTCGTTCTTTTATAGACTAATGTATTTCATTATATGGTTTGGTTTGGTGCAGATGAACAATGGAATGGCGGACAATGGCTTTGGAGCTTGCTCAGAACTAATATTTGCACCAATTGACCTAACTACTCCTAATGATGCTCCTTATTTATCTTGTGGATTTCGAATCATCTTGTTGGGTTCAGATACAGTTGAGTTCCAACATGGCTTTGGTCCGCTGTCACTTTTTTTAGTTTTCTCAATAAACACCTTTTCTTTTAGCACACATTTCTTTTTCCTCTGCCTTAATCCCATACATTTATGTATAATGCCCCAGGAAAGCAGTAGCTCCCCTCTGTCAATGCTGATTCTAGCATTTCAGTTTCCTTATGAAACCCAACATCTGGATGAAATTGCAGTTGTGGCTAAGCTATATGTGAAGTATGTTATTTCCTGTGTGAAAATTATTTCCGGTGAAGTAGCTTACTCGGGATTCTGTCCTAATGTGAACCCTGCCGAAGCAAGTAGTACCATCGTCTCTCGAGAAACAATTTATGCGAACCTAGCTAACGTGATACGCCAAAGCTATAGGTTAGTAAAAGTTGATTTCTCATTTGTTGTCCATTGGGCATTGTTATCTTATTATCAACTATTGGCATTGTGTAAAATTTATAGTTGTCATCAAGGGTTAGGATTTCATATATATTTTGCTTATTGCACTTAATGCAAATGATCTGCCAGAAGAAAATTGAATTTTATGGGTTCATATTGTAAGTATGTAATGAATTTTCTACCGTGATGTTTTGGTTCTAGTCTTTCTTGGTCATTATTCAATAACCTGGGAATGTATTTTGTTTTATACAGATCGAGTTTAGGTGTGGATATGGTTGGCTTGAACCCTGGGACTCCTAATTTATTGTTTGATCAGATCCACCGTCACCGTTATGCTATACTTTGTTTCTCGGCCATGGTATGTTTATAATAGTTTAAACATTAAAGGATATTCGTGAAGAGCTTGTTTAATACTTTAATATGGACAAAATCAAATTCATATGCTGATTGTTTTATTTGCGGTTCTTTATGCTAATATTTGCTGTGATCTCACGATTGCTTTACATTTTTTTTTATTAGGATCTGAGTAATGGAAGCATTGCACTGCATTTCGTGTCTCTCACCATTATACTATGCATTTCTTATTTTGTTCTTTGTCTTTGCAAAAGGATGTCGAACTGTATCAACGATTAATTACATGATAGAATCTTGATCAGTCTTTCTAAGTTACAGAAGTCCAAACTGTACATACACATGGTTATATGTTAAGAAAATGCTTACACCCTCAAAAGATGGTGATCATATTAAATTTGGTGTTTTTAATTATGACATATCATTTGATTTTGGTGTATTTAGGCGCATACCTGTAGATTACTGTCAGTCTTCGGTATATTATCTATATGATCATCTCAACATTTGACAAATCTCCTCTACTGCTGCAGTCTAGGACAGTGTGTGAGTACGCCAACCGAACTGCTCTTAACGTGCTACAGATGACACCAGGAAATCTACAAATTCTCACTGTGGATAGCTTATTTTGTGGCTCTGATTTTTCACTTACTACTGTGTTCCAGAATATAATGCTGCAGGTATATTTCAGAATATGAATATTTGACAGCTCTAACTTAGATTAGTAAAATGATGTTTTAAAGTTGAAGAAACCGAAATAAGGATAGTTTTGATAGAAAATCCCCCGTCCCCCCAGTTCTTTTATCTTCCTACTTCATAATAATTATAATTATTATTATTGTTGAGGTAATTTCTTTATTTGTGTAACTTTTCTGAATTTTCAGGGTTATGTTTTTCTGCCACCTGGACGCTTTATGTCTACAATGACTCGTACGGTTTTTTATGAACAAGCTTTGGTGTTGCAGTTGCAGCCTCCGGATGGTTCTTTTAATGGCTTTGCATTGGTATTCATGGAATTGTCCTTTATCTAAGAAGTTATTTGAGCTCTCTCTGCAGATGCTCTTTTTTTAAAAATAAAAAATAAAAAATCATTGACAATGGGAGAGTCTGTATTGCTCTCTTACTTGGATTTAATTTTGANAGTTGTGTTGCTTTCTAACTGGGATTTAATTTTGATGAGGTGATTGTTTGACTTGAATCACCCTGATTGGTTTTGATGAGACTACATTTATGTGCGTGGATTTTGATCATAATATCATATTATCGACTCTTTTGGGACATGGTTTTTTGTGGTCATATTTTTTTCCTGGAAATACCATTATATGTTATGTATTCAACATCATATGTATATATATATATGTGGAAAAATTCGACCCTATTTGCGTGAGCAGTTCTCTTACCTCTTTTACCGTTGGATTACACACTCCCACTTGTATATGTGTTGATCCAACCGTAAAAAACACGATGTGGGCAAGTAGGTAAAAATTAAAATTTACTGATATATGTGTGCATTTATATATACTTGTGTCTGTGTTTCATTGTGTGTGGAAACACATTCAAGAATTTTCGGGTGTTTCCAAATTCCAAGACACATTCATAGTCTGCTAATTTTGAGCCCTTGATCTTCAGGGTGCGTTGACATAAACTTTTCCGAAAATTTATCTTGTGGGGTTGATTTTCATTTCAATGCAAAATATATTTGAGATTGTGATATCATAAAATCATAATAAGAATTGTGTAATATTACTAGATATGACTTGTAGTTATAAAAACATGATTAATTGATTGATTATTTTTTTCCATTGATTAATTAACTCCACATGATCTACGTGGCACTATAAGTGGTTGGCTCTATATAGGAGCCAAGCATTGGCTTCATAGTATTTTTCTTGTTTTTAATTTTAAATTTTGTTGATGAGATTTAGGTAAAAAAGCAAATGCATAATATAGTTTCTGAAAATATTTTGTGCCTAATAATAGTTTTAATAGAAAAGAAATTAAGCTAGTTTATTTGGCTAGCTTATAAGTTCCCTGTATTCAAATAAGTCTCGTTTGGTAGGATGAAATTTTTTAAAAAGTTCGAGCTTATCTCATAAGCTATTTAAGGTAGCTTTTCAAATAAGCTAGTTGACAGCTAGTTTATTAGCTAATTTTATCAAACACTTTTATCATATAAGCTAACTTATCAGCTAAGTCATAAACTATAAACTTTTATGCCATATTTAATGTTCTTCACTGAGATTTTGATCCTATTTCAATTATTTACAAAAGAGAAAATTGCAAATTTGGTCCCAAAACTTTTGTTGTTTCTCACATTTGGTCCCAGACACGCCAATTATGGTCCTTTTTGAATTTTTGTTGCCAAAATGGTTCCACTCCGTCAAGACTTAACGGTCAACGTTTATAGCCTGGGACCAAATGTGAAAAACATCAAAAGTTTTGGGACCAAATTTGCAATTTTCTCAAAAAGTAAGTGATAAAAATTATTTAAATTTATTTTTATTAGAAACATTTTTTTAAAATTTTTTAGTAAATGTTAAAAACGTATATTACCATTACTTCCTAACAATACATTTAGTTTATTTTTTAATAAATTATAAAAAATAAATATAACTAACATACAATTCTTTCACATTTTTTTTAATTAAATTAAAGTTTAACTTGATTTTTTTTTACATAAAATAATTATTTAATTGGGTAATTTAACAAAAGGTGTATAAAATAATTTTATTAATTTGTTTATGATAAATGAGATGCAAAAAAAAAAAATATATGATACATTTTACTATAAATAAGTGTGAGCAAATGTCTATTTTCACTTAATTTAATGCCAAATTTTGTTTTATTATGCTTAAAATTGAAATTTTTTATGTAGATGTAATTTGCATAAATAAATAGATTTTTCAATTTATAGTTGTCAAAATCAAATTGATAAATAAAAAATTATTAAAATAAAAATAGACAGTAATAAAAAAAATTGTTTAGATTGGTTTTTTTTAATTCGTATTATTTAATAAAGTTTGTAAGGATATATATATATATAAATTATCACATTATACTAATATTTAAAAGTGTAGACGGATTAGTATTATTGTAAGCATACTCACATTTTTTCTTATTTTGATAAATTAGATTATGTCTTTTGGTTTGCTTTATTTAATTAAAATAATATTATTTCTAAATATTCTTTAATTTAACTAATATTCAAATAATTGCTAATATTATTTAAGTAATGACGGTAAAAATATTAGAAAATAAAATAAATAACACACAATTAGAACTTATATCGTTTACTTTTCCACCCAAAATTAAAATTTATCAACGCCTTTACTTTTCCACCCGATATTTATTTTTATAAAATTATTTTTAATATTTATTTCTAGCATAATATTCATAGTAAATTAATTTTATTATGTCATTTCGGCTTTGAGTAAACGAGAGAGACTTGAAGAATTTGAAGAATTCATTTCTTTTTTTTTTTTTGAAAAATTGTAAATTTGGTCCCAAAATTGCAAAATTGGTCCAATCTAACGTCCTCACACGTGCCCTGCAATATTGACGGACGTGGGACCATTTTGACAACGAAAATTCAAAAAGGACTATAATTGACGTGCCTGGGACTAAATATGAGAAACAGCAAAAGTTTTGGAACCAAATTTGCAATTTTCTCATTTACAAAATAAAATAAGTTTTCAGATCGTCCAAATTGCTTCTTCCCACGTGACCTAATAAGAAATTTTGGGAATTATCATCAATACGACGTCGTTGAAGTAATTTGACTGTAGCTCGTTCAAATGCCCACCTGCAACAAACATTGTTAATTGCAAACTCAACCATCCAAATTCCAAAGGGCTCTTTTGGTTTGCTTGTGTCAACTTCTCCTCTTGCATCGCCTCTTTATACCGTCCGTTTTTGTTTCAATTCAAAAAATCATCGTCATTGTAAAGAATTCAGGTAATGATCCTCTTAACACCATTATTATTATTTGGGTAAGTGATTTATGTACAAGTGTACCTGGAAATTCTTGCTGTGTTTTTCCCAGAATCTGTTTGTCGGGTCTGGGCTGCTGATTTTATGACGTTTTGTTATAAACCCATCTCTTATATTCTTAAGTTAATGTAAAAGATTCAGTCTTTTGTGCATTAATTACTATCTGTATGCATATACGCTGAAAATCTCTGGTCTTTGTGTGTGTTTCCATAATTTTGATGTAAATATACTTTTTTTTTTTTTGTTTTTCGATTGAAGGGTTTTCATATTCTCTGATAAACAAAATTTGAGAAAGATGAAACAGAGGCCTAAGGGTGCTCCATCAAGGCCAAATCCATCGAGCGGCGAGACAAAAAATCAAGAAAATAGTACTGGTAGAGTGACTACTACGTTGAAGGACCAAAATGTAATATTGGCTGCGAAGAGGTCGAGTTATGTGATATTTGCCTTGTTTGTGCTGGCTGTATATGGGGCTTGGGGAGTGTATCATTATCAATTTGAGCGGTTGCTCGTGCCTTTGAGTTCCCAGCAGGTGGGGAAAAGGGGTTTTTCTGAGCATGAGGCCCTTAAACATGTTAAAGCTTTGGCTCAGTTGGGCCCACATCCCGTTGGCTCCGATGCCCTGGAGAGTGCAATAATGGTAATTTCAAGGGGTCACTATTATGAATCTTGAATAATAAAGCTGGTGTTGATTTGATTTTCGCTGTCGATACTTTTGCGGATTTTCCCATGTTCGTATCTTTTGAAGTAGACAGTTAAAAATATTATTGACTCATTTGATTTCACTTGAGATGTCACATGAAGTTTGCATTTCTAATATAGAACTACATATGAAGGGGGCATTAGTAATTCCGTTAGATAGTTGACACATTTTATTTGCCTTTTAACTCTGTAGTCTAGATTTTCTTTTCTTTGTTTTGAGTGATCCTATGATGCTATGAGTCATCTGTTGGTCTTGTTCACTCCAAACAGTATGTCAGAGAAGCAGCAGAAAGTATAAAGAAAACAGCTCATTGGGAGGTGGATGTGGAAGTGGATTTGTTCCATGCGAAATCCGGTGCTAACAATCTGGTTGGTGGCCTTTTTAAAGGGAAAACCCATCTTTATGCAGATTTATATCACATTGTACTAAAAATCATGCCCAAATATGGATTTGAAGCGGGAGAAAATTCGATTCTGGTCTCCTCCCACATTGACACCGTCTTTGCAGCGTAAGTTCCCATTCAATCTTGTTTTAGTTTATGAATTGTTGCTATTTACTTGATTGTTCGTAAATCAAAGGATTTGGCTGAAGAAGCTATTTGCAGATATTAACCTTATCTTAGTGTAGATATTGAAGGTTGCCTTGGGAAGCAATGACGAGTTTTTGATTCGGGGTTTAATTATGTTTGGGAGTAGTAGAAAATTAGTATTGGAGGAAATTATTAGGCGTAACACAATCCTATCCGAGGGAAATGATTGGTATCCAAGATGCTAAGGCCGTGCTTGTTTATAAAAAAAAAAAANACTAAAGTTTATTTGAAAAAAGTTAGTATGGTTAGTTAGTGGGATTTTAAGAATGTATTAAAATAATATTTAAAATAAAATGATTAAAATTGATTTGATGTAAAAGTATGAGATAAATGATTGGAAATGATAGGTAGTTAAAATTATGTGAGTGGATGAATAGTGAATTAAAGTTGATGTGATGTGTAAAAATGATTGAATGGTATTATTTAATTATATATGATAATATTGAGGATACTTGGGTTGGGTTGAGTTAAATTTTGAATTGAGAGATATTTTTCCAGTTTGTTTGTTTGTTTGTTTGTTTGTTTGTTTTTTAATATATATATATATATATATATATATAAACAATCAAAGCCTAAACAAACACGTTCTAATTCTTGTTTTGGCTGCTTTCTAGGGAAGGAGCTGGTGATTGCAGTTCATGTGTGGCTGTTATGCTTGAGCTTGCTCGAGGAGTTTCTCAATGGGCTCATGGGTTTAAGAACTCGATTATATTTTTATTTAATACTGGAGAGGAGGAAGGTCTGAATGGTGCTCACAGCTTTATCACTCAGGTTTATTATAACAATGAAGATTCTTTCCATGCAGATGATTGGTGTTCTATATATACAAAAATGGTTTAATATCTTCTGATTTTTTCCACAGTACAGTCATCAAAAAAAATTTGATAGTGTTTGTTACACTATTGTCATAGTAGCATTGTTAACTTCTCTCTAAATACNGGACGGAGCCACATGGGGCCCGCGGGCCCCCCTCATTTTTTTAAAATCAATATATATATATATTTATATATATATATTATAAATTATAAATATCTATATTTATATATATATAAAGAAAAAATTATACAATATGTATAGAAATGTAAAAAATATTTACAATATATTAATAATTAAAATTTTATTTTCTATGTTATTTTAATTTAAATTAATAGCATTATTTATTTATTGAAAAATGTACTAACGATCCTTATATTTTACATTTTTAGATAAATTTTTGAAAATGTTTATAATGTTTCTCTTTTGGTCTCTTAATTGTAAATAGATTTAGTGATTTATAAAAACGAGTGTTTAGTTTGATAGTTATATTTTTTATGTTGATTTTTGTTTTGTTTTGTTTTGTGCAATCACATATTTTTAACTTCATTGTATTTAAAAAATGTTCATTTGATAAGCTTTCGTCAACAAAAATGGTATGCAATATGCTACAAAAGTTCAATTTATATCAATTTTTTAACCAAAAAAAACTTATTTTTTCATAAATTATAGTTGTTGAACTTAAATTATAAATAAATGAAATTTCATATATATTTTTTATTTATTTTTTTAAAAGTTTGAGGGTGATATAGATTTTAAGTTTTTAAAAACTTGATGATACACATTTCGATATTTATATTTATAATAAATATATTTTTATATGAAATGAGTGTTTCGACTTAAATTACAAGTTCGTTAGTTAACATTTAAAATCGGGCCCCCCTGAAAGAAATTCCTGGATCCGTGTCACTGTGTAAACCTTTTCCATCCTAAAGTATACTTTTTTTTTTCCTGTCTAAGAAGCACTTGTAACTTAAAAATGGTGTTACGCCATATTATGCAGCATCCTTGGAGTGATACAGTACGGCTGGCCATTGATTTGGAAGCATTGGGCATAGGAGGAAAATCTGTTATATTCCAGGTCTGATGTTGTTTACGAGCATGATTTATCATTTCGTCATGTTTCCATTTTACTTGTCATAAATATATGCTTCTAGACCATCCAAGACAAAAATATGAGAAACGCTTGCACATTGCATATGCTATAAATTATTATAATCGATTTTATTTGTTATTAATTATTAAATATATCAGAAATTAAAATGTAACTTTTTTTCCAGTTAAATAGTAGCAAAATAATTCACAGCTTTCAAGGAGATCATGGTGTACTTTCTTATGTCCTTTTTTTATTCTGTAATTCTCTTAAACTGCAACACTCAACGATTAATCAATCTTCATTTCTTTCTACCATTTCTTGCTGTCTTCAACAGGCTGGTCCTCATCCTTGGGCTATAGAAAACTATGCTTCGGTTGTGAAATATCCTAGTGCACAAATAATCACCGAGGTTTGTTCATAAAATAAAGCACAACAGAAAATTGTGCAACCAATCTATCATATGCCTAGCTTTTGCTCAGATTGAGAAGTCACATTCTCTGTAATTTCACTAATTTGGATGACAGGATGTTTTTTCTTCGGGGGCTATAAAATCAGCAACTGACTTTCAAGTGTACAAAGAGCTTGCTCAACTTTCAGGACTCGATTTTGTATTCCCAGATAATACTGCTGTGTACCACACCAAGGTAGTGTAGCTTGAAGAACTAAGAACTGCGTTTACTTTATTCTTTGTCTTTTTTTTTTTTCATTTTAAATGCAGTTGGTATTTATTTGTTTACAATGTGAACTTACGGAGCTTAAAAAACACTTTTTTAACTGCAGAATGACAAATTAGAACTTTTGAAGCCTGGTTCTCTTCAACATCTCGGAGAAAATATGCTTGCTTTTTTGCTGCATTCAGCTGCCTCAAACAGCATTCCAAAGGGGAAGTCAACAGAATCAGATTTGAAATCCAATGAGGACAAAGCTATATATTTCGACATTTTGGTATCTTGACTGACTTCTATGTTGTACATTCACATATATAGATATAAAAAAATAATAATAATAATAATAAAATAAATAAAAAACTCTTCTTCTCGGTTGGCCCAGGTGAAAAATAAAATACAATTCATACTTAAGGGGGTGTTTATATATCAAAAAACTCAATTCATACTCAAAATCTAACTCAGCTCCACTATCCTCAATATTATTAATGTAATTAAATAATACAAACCAATCATTCTTACACATCACATCAACTTTAATTTACTATCCATCCACTCACATAATTTTAACTAACTATCACTTCACATCATCTCTATCCTACTTTTACATCAAATCAACATTTTAATTTAAATATTATTTTAATATAAAATCGAAATCTCACCACCAACTAACCATACCACTTTTCTTCAAAAACTCGTTTTGAGCGAATATATTTGTATCCAAGCACGCCCTTAGGGGATATATTTGTAGTTTCTTTAATAAATCATTTTTCTTTCTTCTCTCTCTCTCTCTGAAAAAATATCTAAAATCTTTGGTTATTGTTTTTCTTCTCAAATTAATTTACCATACGTGAATTATTTCTTGAATTCCTTTTCTCAGGGTACATACATGATCACGTTCAGGCAGCGTCTCGCCACTATGATTTACAATTCAGTAATATTGCAATCTCTCTTGATATGGACAACCTCAATTTTCATGGGTGGTTATTCGGCAGCCATCTCAGTAGCTCTATCGTTTTTTAGTATCATTCTCATGTGGATATTCTCCATTAGTTTCTCATCTGCTGTGGCTTTCATTCTCCCCCTCATATCATCATCATCAGCAGTGCCATTTGTTGCAAGCCCGTGGCTCGTCGTTGGTTTATTCGGTGCACCTGCCTTTCTTGGCGCATTGACCGGTCAACACATCGGTTATCGTGTTCTTGAGTCGTATTTGGCAAATAATTTAACCGAAAGAAGGAAAAGCTTATCGGCTGTCTTGAAAGCAAGTGTGGTTAAACTTGATGCTGAGAGATGGGTTTTTAAAGCCGGTTTATTGCAATGGCTCGTTTTATTGATGGCTGGCAGTTATTATAGAATTGGCTCTACTTATCTAGCTTTTGCTTGGTTAGTCTCGCCTGCATTTTCGTGTAAGTTCGGGTGATAACAGAAAAGTATGTGCCCATTTTTATGCTAATTTTTAGAAAAAAATTAAAAAATGGGGTTGATTCGAATCTTTTGTTACACTTTAACTCTTTTGATAAAGAAAAAGATATTAATCTTCAACTTATAATTAATGTACATATGTAATAATTTCTAATCATTCTTTATGGTTAATGTTCTGGATCTTTCTAGATGGTTTGCTCGAGGCAACATTATCGCCAGCAAGGCTGCCTAAGCCGCTTAAAACAGTGACCTTGATTATTGGCTTGCTTGTGCCCTTTCTTCTCTCTTCTGGCATGGTTATTAAGTTGACAGCTATTTTAATTGGAAGTGCTGTCCGTACTGTACGGTAATTGTTTCGAAAATCTTTTAAGAAGTGATCACTTTATTTTCTAAATAATGTTTCAAATTCACATATTTTCATTTTTTAACATATTATAACTTTCATTATTGGTCGTTCATCTGAACACTTCCTTCATGTTCACACGAAAACAGAAAAAAAAAACTGTTCTAACTATCGAAATTCGTTTTCCATTATAAAAAGTAGAAATCGGGCATCAGATAACAGTCACAGAAGGCCTGATTTTCATGCCAATATTATTATACTTTGTGTTCTTTATAATAAATTTAGTCTTATTTACTAATATGCTGTTGTATTTGCAGGAACCCTGGCATAACTCCTGAATGGATGGTAAATATAATTGTTGCCGTTTTTATTGCTGCTATCGTATGTTTGACAATGGTGTATCTATTGTCATATATTCACATATCAGGTGCCCAACTATTGTCTTTTATTTATGTCTTCAACAATCAAATTGAAGTTCCATTGGTAGTTGATATCATGAGAAAAAATTAATTTTGTAAAAGAAAAAAAAATTGAAATGAGTTCATCTGCTCAAGTTTAGTTTGGATCTAATAGTATTTATGCATTTAGTTTACATATTCCATGAGATTCGACACGATCTATATATAAGTAATTCGAGAAAGTAAATGACAGTTCGAGGACCTCGTAAAATCTTATCACAAGGCGAAGCGTAAGTTTTATATATCAAATAACCATATCTTTTAATTTCAAGATGATAACAAAAGAAATTTTCTAACCTGTTTATATTGATCTATATGGTGCACTGTTATCAACACGACAAAATGACAGTCTCATTCGTCCTATACAAGTTAAAAAAGAAATGCTTTGTTCTGAAAATAAGTGTATCGATTTTCTATCAATTTGTTTTATTTTTTTTTTCTCTATAGGTGGAAAAGTTTCGATTGTCATTACCCTGTTCAGCCTGTTTGCCATCTCTCTAGGTGTGGTATGGTCAGGCTTTCTTCCACCCTTTACAAAAGATACTGCTAGAGCTGTAAATGTGAGTGATCTCTCTCTCTCTCTCTATCTGAGTTGCTCTCTCTCTCTCTCTCTCTCTCTCTTTGAGTATCTCTCTCTCTCTGAGTAGCACTCTCTCTCTCTCAACAATGTGCAAAAAAAAATTCGAACCATAAAATTCTTACATTAATGTTTGTGCTTCCCAGTTGGTGCACATTGTGGACACAACCGGCGAAAATCGCGAACCGGTTTCTTACATTTCTCTCTTCTCGACAACTCCCGGAAGCTTGAACAAGGAAGCTCACGATATTGGAGAAGGGTTCGTTTGCGGCAAAGACAAACATTTAGATTTCGTAACTTTTTCAGTAAATTACAGCTGTTGGTCGGATAAAAATGCCGAAAAAGGGTGGGCAAAGTTTGATATACCCACAATCCATGTGGACGAGGATTCAAAAGGAGAGAGCCGATTTACGCAAGTTACTATAGATACGAGAGCTTCTACCCGCTGGTCTCTCGGAATTAATGTTGTACAAATCGAAGATTTTCAATTGAAAGGTATGATCAAGTTAAATTCCGCGTGGATAATCTGTTCATAATATTTGGGCTGTGTTTGGTAAAAACTAGCTGATAAGCTAGTTTATAACTTTTAAGTGGATTTCGAGCTTATAGCTGATAGCTTATGACTTATGGCTGAAAAACTAGCTTGTATGATAAAAGTGTTTGGTAAAATTAGCTGATATAAAATTTTCAATGGGCTTATTAGAAAAAACTACTCAAGAAAACTTATGAGATAAGTTTGATCTATTTGAAAAAGTTTGTCCTACCAAATCAAACTTATTTGAATACAAAAAGCTTATAAGTTTATCAAATAAGTTATAAGCTAGCTTATATGCTTACCAAATACAGCCTTAGTCTGATCACATCCAAATTAGGTTTGGACCTTTTGGTAATTTCACATAAATGTGATCAAGACTTGAACTTTTTTTTTTTTATCTCACAGCTAATATATTTCTTTTCCTATTTGACAGACTCGGAAACTTCCGAGGAGTTAATCCCAGCTGGCGAAAAGAGCAGCGTGGACGGGTGGCACACAATTCAGTTCTCAGGCGGTAAAAAGGCCCCAACAAAGTTTGCTCTTTCTCTCTTTTGGGCCCAAAACAGCACAAGCCCGACTCGGCCCGTGGGCTCGGGTAAAGACCAAAAACCCCTTTTGAGACTCAGAACGGATGTCGACAAGTGGACACCACAGTATAAGAAGGTTTTCGAGAAGCTTCCGGAATGGTGTTCTCTCTTCGGGAAGTCGACATCCCCACAAAAATTTGCGTTTTTGAGCAGTCTACGGATTTCTTTCTAGAAAGTTCTGGAGATTTTCGCAGCAGGACTCTTTCGAATGTCTCGCGGTTGAATTTTTTTTACATGATATGATTTAACATGAGTTGACCCGGGAAAATGAATTTGAAAAAAAAGAAGTTTAACTAACATACCCGCTGGATTTGTTTTAGCTATGTGGTTTTTCTTTTGAATTATTGATGTCCCTATTTATGGCATTTTTCATTTTTTTTTTCATCATACAAGAGAAGAAAAGGGGAAGAAANTTTTTTTTTTTCTAGTTTTTAGAAATGATGTCTAAGCCTTTAAGGGGAATGTGATGTGTGTGATGAGTCTGATGAGAATCATGTATTGATCTACTCGAAATTGTGAAATCCCGCACTGATTGGCCGTTGATTAACACACGATTTTGGTGCTCAAAAGAGTGGTTTTTGATTTGTTATTCGATAACATCATCCAAATGAAGAACACGAGAGTTTAAGAGCAAAGAAAATACATAAATTGCAACTAAGACCCTAAGAAATGCAAAATAACTACGCTTGCAGGGCTGCTCATGTATTCTCGTTGTCAGGTGGTCGCGGCGCGACATGCATCACCCGCGACAGTCTGCTTCTCAAGTTTCACTATCACGTGGTCACGGGCGCGACGGGTCAGTGCACCCTGACAACGGCTCTCGCGGTGCCTTCTGTTTCACATGCGCGATTATTGGAGGGTCGCGACGGCCTAGGCCTGGAGCGCCTGCTAGTCGGCGGCGCAACTTTTCGTCCTCGTACGGTTGCGCTCGACTCCCTGATACGAGCACGCCGAGCTCTATTATACGCGTTACTTGAGGATTCGTCCTTCGTCTGCATCATTCTCATCCCTTTCAAGTAAATCCTTGTCCTCATAGATAAAATTTGGGAAGTGATTGCGCATATCGTGCACGTTCTCCCACATTGCTTCTTCTTCCGGCAGAAAACGATCGACTCTCTTCACTCTACGATAGTAAAAAGTCCAGCTAGGACGCACAATGAGTTGTCCCTCTCGACCTACCGTCGGTAACTGAGTACAAACTTCATGGGCATCATCTAAGCTTCTTTTCAACGGGGAAACATGAATGTCTGGATGATATTGAGATTCTGCCAGCAAATCCAGTCGATAAGCTACCTCGCCTGATAGAGAGAGTAGAGGGGGACTTACGGTTTTTATTCACCTTATCACTTAATGAAGAATTCTAAAGTGCCCTTTTTATTTTTCAAGGTTTTTTGGGACTCCACCCATTAATAATTTTAACCCAAATTATTTACTAATTAGGCCACTTAAAATTAATATTATTATTCTTTACGTCATCAAATAATAATATTATCAGTTGGTCACATTTAATCATTCCACAATTTAAACTAAGTTTCTTAACCACATTTCTATACAATAATTTGATCACTTAATTTAACTAAACAATATAATGACTCAATGTATTAATTACACATACTTGATTATAAAATAGATCTAACAACGTGAACTACACTAATCCTGAAGCGCGTAGGCCGTATAGATTAAAGGTCATGTGTTGTCTTCTCCTGTCTGTGATCTTTTGTCTGTTTGGTGTTTTGTCAAAAGTTGCTTATGTCACTGCCCAATGACGCGTTTGAGGATTAATAATTCCGTGTAATTGTAGCTTTGACTTTTCTTAAGCCTCGGGATTAGAGTTCTAATCCAAACCCAACGAATACTATTATTTTACTACATCATTAAACACACACTAATTATTTTCCCTTTTCTTTCGCCACCGGACAAGGATTTTGTGGTTCGGAAATATAAATCCTTGTTTGGGAATTGGCATTTGAATTTTGAAGTTCAAAAGTCAATGATAGTATGTTACTATTTTGAAGTTCCCATAAGTCACAAGGAAATTTATGCTTTGATTTACAATAATATGGTGATTTAAACTCACGTAGCAAAATGTAGTGATTAAAATTGAGTAGAAGTCTTTGTTCATTATTTATTTATTTATTTATTTTCTCTGAAAATGTGGAAATTGTATTAAAATTCAATATATGCCCTTTTCAACCAGCTCTAAGTTACTAAATTAAAAAGAAGAAAGGACCAAGCATTAAAAAGTTTACTTTTAGCTAGGGACCACTTTATCCTTCTTCAATAAACCACTGAATTTACACTAGCTTTACCTATCCTAATTTTCTGAATCCCTTCTGTGACAAACTGCAAGACCATTTTGCCAGCTCTGATATCCATTAATTCAATTTATGTGAGACTGTGAAATTCAAAAGCCTAGCTAAAGAAAAAAAAAATACCAAAATAAAAAATGTTCTCCTACATGAGTACCATTTTAGCTTTCCACATTGCTTCCATAATAGTGTCTATATATAAATATCAAAGAGTTCATAATTTTCAATTTCATATTTGATTTGGCAACATTAAATACCTCGGCAGTTCATTCGATCAAGAAAACTGATGGTCGAATTTGTGGGCAAAACAATTAGCTCGAGAGAGAGAGAGCTTAGGAGTCGATTGGTCGAGATGTTAGAGAGAGAGCTTAGGAGTCGATTGGTCAATACATCTCGACGGAATAAGAACTTTGAGAATCGTTACAGTTTCTGATTTAAACGTTTGAGTGTCTGTATTAAGAATCAATACTAACATTTTTTATAATAGGTGTCAACTGTGTCAAGCTTTAGATATATTAACTTTGGTGTTCATCTTCACATGTGGCCATTTGGTTGGGTCACATCTTAATAATGACAACAATTTTACCAGACAATAGCTGCAACCACAGTTGTCACTTGAGTGGTGTGTTGAAACCAAATCTGCAATTTTCTGAGCTTGCAAATTTATTTCTTTGCTTTCATCATTAATAAAATTGTCTGTGCATGGTACATATGTGGATTTTGTATCCTATTCTATTCCCCTTTTGTCTGCTTCAAAAACTTTTTGCTTCTTGTTCTTATCTCACTACCAACTTGATTTTTATTTACTCAACGACTTTTTTATATTACAATTTACCATAATCAAGAAACCATTTTTACTTGTAAATTTTCTTGCAACTCATAGTGCAAACTGGAAAATAGCTATTTTCAACACAAAACGGCCATAAAAGAACTTGTGCCATAACATCTTGAAAAATAAGAAACAATAACAATAGTAATAACATCCCAATATTGCAAAACACTACTACAAGTACAAATTGCCATTAAACACAAACTTCCAAACTCTCACTTGTTCTTCTATCCTAGAGAGATTCTTCATCCGACAAGCCCTCCGGTCGAAAACTCTGAACAACTCCCGACCCTGATCCCGACCCATTCGATGTGGTCCCCACATTCTTTCGACTTTCCATCTGTTCTTCTGTTAGAATCGGCTGCCCGAACAGAACAAAAACAGGCGACGGCTCTCTCTTCATCAAACTCTCGGTAAAAAGAAGATTCTTCTTAGGAATTCTTACAAGACTATTAAACGGGTCGTGTGACGAAGGTTGTAAGAACTTGACATGCCTGGCTCCCTGTATGTCGGGAGAACAACTCAACAAATTGCCGCTAAAAAAAGTTTTCGCCATTTCAAATTCTCGGCCGAAGGGATTAAATTCCGAGTCGTGCTGACGTGGCCGTTTTCGCGGTAGGCCCAAGTGGGAGAGGTTGATCGACGAGACTCCGGATATAAGCTCGACCGACCACGGGTTTACTCGCTTAACATTG